TAATGTTTTATGGCAAACTGATGTCACTCACTTTCCAGCATTTGGAAAATTAAAATATATTTTCATATCTATTGACACTTATTCTCATGCCTGTTGGGCTACAGCCCACACTGGGGAAAAGGCTAAACATGCACAAAGTCATTTACTACAATGTTTTGCCACACTCGGCCTCCCCGGTCAACTTAAAACACATAATGGCCCTTGCTTTATTAGCAAAGCCTTCCCAGATATCCACTTGGAACATATGCCACTCCACTGGCATCCCTTACAATCCTCAGGGACAAGCCATAATAGAATGTCACCATCAAACTCTAAAGAACCAACTTTTAAAACAAAAAGGGAGAATAACTAGCCCCCACCAACAGTTAGGAATGGCATTATTTACCTTAAATATATATTTTTTTCCTTTTTGTCTTTTTTACTGACCGGTAACGGGATCGCAACCCTCGGTGTCGCGCCCATACCGGAGACCGGCAATGGGATCGCAACCCTCAGTGTTGCGCCCGCACCTCACTCAGCCAGTGAGCGGGAACCGGTCTCCACATGGGATCCGAACCCTCAGCGGGAGCGCTGCTGCGCTCCCAAGCGGCACACTCTCCAGAGCGCCACCTTAAATATTTTAAATATTTTAAATTTTCCAAAACATGAGCCAATAACTGCTTTCCAAAAACACTGGTCAACCCAATCCCCAAGTCCTGCCATTCAGGTGCGATGGAAAGATTCCCTTTCAGGACAATGGAAGGCCCCAACCTGCTCTTAACTATGAGCAGAGGATTTGGTTGTATTTTTCCTTTCAACGAGCCCAACCCTATATGGGTGCCAGCCAGACATCTCAAGTTCTCACCCACTGCCCAGGGCGATAATGACCCTGAGGAAAACCCTTCTTATGTTTTACAGGAAAGTCCACAATGAAGCAAGCTTATCTTCTGCTAGGGGTCTTCTCCATGATTGGTGAAGAAAGTCCACCCTCTTCTCCACACACTCTAGCTAACCAAACATGAACAGAAGGGGCTTGGACTTGCTGTTTCTGCAACAAGGAGGATTATGTGCAGCCCTCAAAGAAGAATGTTGTTTTTACACACACCATTCTGGCATTGTTAAAGATTCTTTAGCTAAATTAAGAGAAGGATTACAAAAACGTAGGAGGGAAAGAGAGGCCAATTCCGGCTGGTTTGAAGGCTGGTTCAGAACTTTCCCTTGGGTCACCACCCTGCTATCTGCTTTAACAGGCCCCATCATTCCATGCATATTAGGTCAATTAACAACCCTTATAAGGCACAACCTAGGGTCCCTCACCATGCTCACCCAGGTGGCAGAAAAGGTAGCTAATGAACAACACCCCCAAGACCCTTGGGTCAATTTGGCCCCTCAAAAAAATTAACACCAAGGTGTAATCTCCTGTTTGGCCTCAACTTGGTTGGATAGTCGATGGGTAAGATCCCCCACTGGGGGACCACCTAAGACAGGCACAACCACACAATACCAATACAGGTTGTTTCAGCCTCGGCTTGGTTGGATAGTCAATGATGGGTAAGATCCCCTAATAGTGGGGGGACAACCTAAGAGAGACACAATCACACAAGGCTTCTATTAAAACACAAAGGAGGAACTATGGGCCATGCCCTTTTTCTAAGCAAAAACAACAGATGGCCTAAAAGGATAAAAGGTGGCACCCAAGGGAA